TGAAGGTGAAGGTGAAGGTGAAGGTGAAAGACAAGAATAGTACCTAAAATGGTTCTCCCTTTCCCCCCCCCCAAAAAAAAAAATTTTGCTTATTATTATAAAAATGTTTTGAATGTAATGATGTGGATTTAAATCCAGTGTAGTGTAAGCTTCACCTAGGACAAATGATATGAAAAGCCTTAATTACATCACTTTAAAAAAAAAAAAGAAAAAAAAAAGAGACTTATTTTGTGAAAAGGACAAGAGGGCATAATGTTACGCAAACAGACAAATGAGCATAAAATCAATACAAATGATATGAAAAGTCTTAATTTTATCACTTTAAAAAAAAAAAACATCAAGGCAGCTTATAATTTAAAAAATTATCGTTATTACAACATTTAATTTAAAAAATACATATATAATTTTTTTAGGATATTTTTTCTAAAATTATATTGTGAAAAGGACGATGGCATAAAATGCATTAAATTAGCTCCAAGGAACAGTGACTGTGCTATACTACACACGACAAAAGGTAGAAATGGGTTGCAGGGCACTCACTAGTCATTATAAGTTTGGTTTTTGTTTGATTTGTCTATTTTTACTTAGGGTTTTCAAACTTTGCTCAACTAATCTTGTTAATGTACACTAAACCTAACCCACTAACCTAACCCACTACATCCACTCCACTAAACCTAACACACTTACCATCTCCACTACCACCCACCACCTCCACTACCATCCACTACCACCACTCACTTACCTCACACCTCTCCTATATAATAGCTTGTAACATACAAATCAATACACATCAATCTATCAATAAATCAATAATACAATCAATTTTATACATTAAATCTTACAAGCCAACCTTGCCACGTCATTCACGGGGCTTGTGGGGGAGGATTTTGTGTGGATGTAGCACTGCTGCTCTGCTAAATTTCAGTGAAGCCAATTGGTAAGATAATTATGTCCATGAAAAATGTAAGAATAACAAAATACTAGGGGAGCCTTTAACCCACTATACAGCTATACGCTTAAGTTCATAACCAATGCCTAAAATGGCCATGCAGGGTATGAGATATCAAGCAAATAAACAT